GTGCTGAGCGGACAAACAGCTGATCAGCTGTTTGTCGGCTCAGCGCAGCAGCCATGTAAATTTAAATGAAGCGGCGATTATTTAAATCGCCGCTTCATTTCCCTTTGCCAAAACAACAAATCTACATGGCTCCGTCGATGGAGCCATTTAGTTTAGACGTACCCCAGGAAAAGCTGAGGTTCTGCTTCACCAGTGTAAAGAACTGCACCCTCCCATTACCTCTGAGTTTGGTGGTAAGGGGCCAAAGTCTGTGCTGGCTGCCATGCTGCAGAATGTCTGCAAAAGCATTGGGATAACATTTGACACAGAATTTGACCCAGACTTTTTACAGAACTGACTGTACTGTTGGCAGCTCACTTAAGGAAGGAGGGCCTGGCAGTTACCCCATGTTTGGACCCTAGGCTTGCACATGGTATTTCTCATCTCCTCTGAAAAACCCTTTCAGTCCTGATAATTAATACAGAATCCTTGTTAAACGGGATCTCTGTATTGGAGACTGGTTTAAAGTGATGACTACAAATGTCAGTCTGTCTGGATAAAGGTGACTGCTTTAGGGTGCAGAATAGTTCAGGAGAAATGTCCTCTTTCAAAGAAAAGATTTAACATCAGTATACTGGCACTCAGGCTTTCTAGGTATTGACAACCTTCAGGAAATACCTGGCAAGGTAACTGAATAAGTCATAGTTGCTTACGAGTACGTCTACACAGCAGTGTTATTTTGGAATAACTGGCATTATTCTGAAATAACAGTGTGTGTCTATACACTGCAAGCCTTTATTTCGAAATAATGTGAAGCTTAAGGACTTCTTACTCTGACTCCCATAACCCTCATTTCATGAGGAGTAAGGGAAGTCAAAATAAGAGTGTTCTTCAACTTCCTGCTGCATAGACAGCACCAAAAACCGAATTAAACTATTTCAACTTCAGCTACGTGATTGACATAGTTGAAGTTGTGTAGCTTAATTCAACTTTAGCCCTGCTGTGTAAATATGCCGTTTCTGAACTGACTGTAAGAGGAATCCAGTCTCCTGCATCTTTGGAGAAAAGTGTCTCCTTGTTCCAGAAGTGAGCCCCTCCAGAGAAAATCCCTTTCACAGGGGAATATAGCAGATGGCCCGAATCATGGTATATTTCTTCTTCTTCAGGATGGAGAAATGGTCTTGCTGGATGGGGGGTGTGAGTTTTCCTGCTATGTAAGTGACATCACTCGGACCTGGCCCATCAATGGCAGGTAGGATGCCCACAGGTGGAAATGAGCCATGCAATACCTTTGTGAGAGCGTGAGGAATGTGGTTGATTGTGGGCATTGATTTGTGATTAGCCATTAACGTTTGTGTTTATGCACACCCACATTATCTATCTATGTAAATAATTTTAATGTATCCTTCACTGTTGTATCTCAGAGTAACCAAAATTACATAAAAACTGGGTGAGGACCTGTATTGCTCAGTGTTTTCTTATCCGTGACTGTAAGAAGGTTACAGTGCTGGTTTTTGCCTTTCCTTGTTCTTGTGCTGACTCTGGGCATGTGTGTGCAGCATAAGAGAACAGATGTTTAGTCCATGTGTGAGTGGCTGCCTGTCTCAGATCAGGAAGGTTCCAGCAAAGTGTCCCTTTGGTGGGGTTGGTTCTAGTGTCTCTTTGCTCTTGTCCTTCCCTTCAACTGCAGCTTTGCCCTGCTCTGCTCCAGACCAAGGAGTCCATCCAAGGTGCCTCTCCACAGCAGGGAAGGAGGTGACCTCAGCAGTTGCTTGTGTGCCCTTCCATACTGGCAGGCGGTGTGTTTTCTCCTCACTGCTTCAGCACTGAGCTGTCCCTGACTCCGAACTGCAGGTGACCTGGGAGCTTCCCATTTGAGACATGACCTCCTTTGCTTTTCTCTGGCTTTCAGGTTCACTGATCCTCAAGCAGAGCTGTACCAGGCTGTCCTGGAGATCCAGAAATCCTGCCTGAGCCTCTGCTCTCCAGGAGTTAGCTTGGAGAACATCTACAGCCTCATGTTGAGCCTTATGGGACAGAAGCTGAAAGAGCTCGGGATTCTAAAGAAAAGCACTACTGAGAACTTCAAGGTACTTTAACTCTCTCCACAACAGCATCCCCAAACCGGGTCTGCTCCTAGCAGGAACTGTTTTGTGTCTGGGAATCCAGGCACAAGCCGTGGAGACCAGGGTTCAAAGCTTACTGCAGAATATGGCATGCTCATGTTGTTACAGCTGTAACAGGAAACGTGTCCCATAAAAGAGTGAACCAAGGGGAGGCAAGGCCTGTTTCTCTCAGCAGGTGGCAGCACCACCAGATCAAACTATACCAGCAATTTAGTCCTCAAGAAATGTGAAGGAGATAGGGTCCGGAACAGAAGATGGTTTGATTCCTTTTTAAAATGGATCCTTAAGTGGGGGTGGGGATTAGAGTGATGCACGGGGGTTAAGCATTGTAGCAGTGGGGTAAGTGAAACCTGTCCTGCATTCTAAGCCTAGTTCTTAGACATGTTTTAGCCACATCACAACATCACTTTTGCTGCAAATTGGCAGGCTCCATTGATGAGTGGGACTGGAGTATCCAAGGGATGCAGAAGGCAGAGTGGAACTATATTGGCAGGGCTCTTTGGGGCATCTAAGACTGAAATATGTGATGTGTACAGGCCGGGAGTGAAGAGAATTGGCTACTTTATTGAGAACAGCAAAGAAGCTGTCTGCTGTAGGCACAGGTCAAGCCAATGATCATCATTTGTTCCTGAGCATCCAATTCCCCCCCAATTTCACCCGAAATTCAGGAAAGCCCCCAGTGATCTTTTAAGAATGAGATTGATGAGCACAGTCCCTATGACAAACACAAGCCATCCTGTTCCTGCACATCCCTCCCCTCTTCCCTCTTTCTTCTTCATGATCAGAGTCTTCAGATATGTAAAAGATTGTGATAAAGAGGAAGGTAGTAAATCCTACAACTTAGCCACTGAGGACAAGAAGTCCTTAAATTGAAGCAAGGGAGATTCAAGTTCGACATTAAGAAACCTTCCGAACTGTAAGGACAGCTAACCACTGGTTGTGGAATTTCTGTCACTGGAGTTTTTAAAGAATAGGTTAGAAAAATGCATGTGTGGGATGGTCTAGAATAGAAAATACTTACTCCCGCTCAGCAGAGGGGACTGGAATAGCTGACTGACTAAAGTCCCTACCAGTCCTATATTTCTATGATTCACTGTTGGGATGAAGGTTCAGGGGCCAGGTTCAGTGGCTGTATTAATCGGTGTTTTCCTTCCTGCTAGGCTGTTCGGAAGTACTGCCCACATCATGTGGGCCATTACCTGGGTATGGATGTTCATGACACCCCAGACATGTCCCGATCACTCCCACTGCAGCCAGGCATGGTGATAACCATTGAGCCAGGTAAAAGGACACATTCAACCCTGATTGAGTAACAAGTCACATTGATGATGATGCTACAATGATGACATAATATAATTTTACATAGCTCTCTGCACATTCAAACCAAAAAATCCTACTCACAGTATTAGAAAAGCACAGTGAATTGTTTCCCTCCCAGCATATAACCATAAATAACTCCTTGCAAGGACTTGCAACTCAAAGTGTATTCCTTATAAAGCGCTCTCCTGAGACACTTTCCTTGAGATCATTCCAGTCGGGCTTGCACATAGAAATTGATCTTTGACACCGACTTTCTTTTCTCTTCCCTTTTCCCCTATTACTCAGACCACTGTCAGCATTGATTCTCATATTGGCAGCACTAACATCAAGAAATGCAGAAAGGCCAAATGAGTGAGGGTTTATATTGCTATACCAGGGATCTGTGTGCATTGGGGAAGTGCTCTTTTCCCCTCCTTCCTCCAGAAGCTGACCCAAACAAAGGCGAACAAGGGAAACTTTTCTTTACAAAACTCTCCAGTTTGACCCCCTCCAATATCACTGAGAACTCAGCCTCATCACCATATGAACCAGTGAAGGGGGGGCATTCTGTAGTGTCTTCTCATCCTGCTCTTCTGAGGGGGTTTATTGCCTCTTTTTCCCTCAGGCATCTACATCCCCCAGGATGACATGGCTGCCCCAGAGAGGTTACGTGGCCTGGGTGTGCGCATCGAGGATGATGTGGTGGTGACAGAGGATGCACCCCTGATCCTGTCTGCAGACTGTCCCAAGGAGATCTATCATGTTGAGCACATCTGTGGCCGCAGCCTGTGATCTGTCTTATGCACCCTGCTGGGTTCCTCAGGAAATGTGCTTCCGTGCACATGTGCAGTGATGTGAATTTCTGTGAATGGACCTGGTTGCAGGGCAGTGAGGAGGGGCAAAAGGGGGGCGGTTGTTGATGTTTGGGACTTTGTAGGTAGGACAGGGAATTGACTTGTGAATGGCTCAGATAACATTGCTGTTATAAGCAAGAAACCTTTTATTTACAGAGTTAACCTATGTAATGACTGCTTAGTGCTGATTTAAAGATCCAGAACACATCCCTTCCCTTGCCACATGGATCCCTCTATTCCTGCACTTGTATGCACAATCTTGTTCAGTGCAGTCTGTGGGACATTAGCCCCTGTCCCTCATTCTTCCTCATGGCTTCTTGAATAAGATGCAGCCACTGAGACGGGGTGCCATGATCTGACCTTTGTGGGAATTTTCATACCAGGCCAATCAGAAACCAATTTAAGTGAAAACCTTCAAAAGTTTGTCTGGGAGAGGGAGCATGTGGGTGGTTTTTGGCTTATGCAGAGCAGTGACACAAGGGGCGTTGGGAGACTGGAAGATGGGGTTGGATTGTGGGTAGTTTGTAGCAATGCAGAAAGATTTTAGCATCTAGGTATAAGAATATATTACACTATCTTTCTAGGAGGTCTGAGAGAGACTGGCAATAGGACGAAGGGTCATCAGAAGACATATGGTAGGGTTTGATAGTTGGGGGAAGAGAATGACTGGGTTCAGTGCATTGGTGCGTCTTTGGACTGCCCATTCATCTGGCCTTCCAGTCTCTTCCCCTGACCAATTATCAGCTCCAGACTTCCACTCTACCCCCTCCCCCCCCCATTTTTCTGAGATCAGCTTCACAGTGCTGGTCCACCCTATTTTTCTGAGATCAGCTTCACAGTGCTGGTTCACACATATGCGTTGCTGTCTCTCTAGTTCAAGTATTTGTACATTGGTATATAACTGGGACGATCAAAATCCCATCTAATGCTTGAATGGCAAGTACAAGCAACCACAACAATGGCCCTTAAGCCAGAACTTATGTCAAGAAGAAAGAAAACTCTTCCATGAGGGGCTCAAGGGAGCTCTCCTTTGAAAGTTTTTTGAGCATACAAGGCACCTGCCTTTTGGTGCAGTCAAAGTTTTTTTTAAAAAAAAAAGGAGGGGAGGAGGTTCTTGGAAGATAGATCTTAAGCCAGGTATAAATGTGATCTCTTGCCTTCAAAAGTAGGTGGATGAGTTTCCAGGTTCTAGAGAAGAGGATGAATCCTAGTTCTCTATTCCTTTACAATATTCAGTCCTTTTCAGACAGTGGTAAATGGATCTATAATAGAAATATAATCAGTGTTTGGTTATTTATTGGTCATATTTTGTCAATTAGCTTTCTATTTAATACCGGTGGGAAAAGTCACTATAGTGAATATCTCTTGTTTTATGTATATATTCTTTCTTTCCTCTTCCAAGGTTTCCCTGTATATTCTTCTCTGTTGTTTTCAGTATACTGTATGTTAGTTCATTCTTATTTCATTCTCTCCTTTCTCTATGCTTCCTTGCTGTCTTTCTTTCTTCCAAAATTTAACTGTTAGTCCCATGCTTCTCTTTCTAATCTGTCCATCAGTCTCTTCACCCACTTAGTCTCAGTGACTCTAGCAATTAATATATAGGACTGAGAGTCAGGGACTCCTGAATTCTGTTTCTGGCTCTGCTGCTGATTTTGTGTGATCTTTGGCAAAACCGTACCCCTCTTGGCTTCATTTTCCTTTTACTCAAAATCCGCTTACCTCTTTTAGTTGGATGTTGCAAGACTGGCTTAATAAGGGCCAAGTTATGCACCCTAGAGGACATGTGCATCTCTCATTGTCTTCAAGGGGAGATGGGTACATGCATTCAAGGGATGACTGTTTAAAGGCAACTAAAGAACCTGACCTGTTTTGTTTTTTATAAAAAGTGGGTAGGAAAACAAGTTGAGGCTTTTAATGAGTTTTGGAAATCAATCTATGCCTATTTAAAAGAATCTATTATATTTTTATTGTGATAATTTTGTTACATCACAGATACTGCAGTAACAAGTACAATATAAATTATTAAAAAGAAGTCTCACCAAAGATATATATGGAGATGCATAACATTGCTGCTAATGTGCTAATTGATAATCATTTAGCCTGCACTCTAAATCTGTTACACATAACATTGTTACTCCAAACATGCCTTTGGTGCTGTGCCAGCCAATACCTACAGGTAGTAACTGTGGACTTTGAATCTACATGACAAGCTGCGAATAACATTCACATATACAGCTATATTTGCCTATGTATCTAACTGTAGAATTGATGATTGTGTATCTACCTGTAAATAAAACTTGGCAATGAAAAGTTATTTTTGAAAAAAGGATCATTTGTAGGACATCATTTCTCTGAGCATAAAGTTACATAGATATAAGAACTTCCCGTAAGAACTTTCTTTTTCAGGGGGGATATAAACCACCTGTAAATTAACCCAGGAATTTCTTTAGGAGCCATAGCACAATACTGCATTTGTATGTGGCTGCAATTAGTTTTTTGAATAAATATTGCTTGTTCTTAATGATGAAAGAGGGTATATCCCCTAGAACAGTGGTTTCAATCAGGGATTCCCAGAGGTGTTCTAGGGGATATATCAATTCCTCTAGATATCTGTCCAGTTTTACAACAGGCTACATAAAAAGCACTAGGAAAGTCAGTACAAACTAAAATTTCATACTGACAATTACTTGTTTATACTGCTCTATATACTTTATACTGAAATATAAGTACAATATCTATATTCCTATTGATTTATATTATGGTAAAAATGAGTCAGCAATTTGTCAGTAATAATGTGGTGGTGACAATTTGTATTTGTTTTCTGATTTTATATGCATGTAGTTTTTAAGTGAGGTGAAATCTGGGAGACACAAGACAAATCAGACTTCTGAAGGGATACAGTCATCTGGAACGGTTGACAGCCACTGACCCAGAAAATAGTAAATTTAGTTCTTATCAAACTGAATGTAGAAGGCTTTTTCTAAGTCATTGTATATGAATAACTAGAATGCATGATCTGAGACCTAAATAATAATTAATAATGTCCTTACAAATGAGGAGTCTTAATGTATTTATTAAAGGCTCCTAGTCATCTGAGACAAGGCAGTGGGGGAAGTTTAAAACCAATTGTCATTTTAAATTGCTCTCGTCATGGAACACTACAGACTCCCTTCTCCACATGATGACATGGCCAATGGTCAGTGAAAATCATTTAATCAGCAGTCTTATATACCTGGGTTTATGATCTGTGTATGGTGTTGAAGGTAGGGATGTGGCAATACATTTGGTGAACAGAAATAGGTTTGAACTTTTATATAACTATTTTGCATAAATCCTTGGAATCTTCAGTTTGTAAAGCAATGTTGTATCTGCTTGCTTGGCAGCATTAAATGGAGAGAGATTGCCTATTCTTTCCTCCACTATACCCTTCCTCCACTGTGCTGGCTTCCAGATGTAATTGAAGATGTTGACTTTGATCTATAAAACCCAATATTTTTCATTTCAGTTTTCACAAAAAAGTTTAGCAGTGACTAGCATGGTGAACATCAGAGTAAATGGGGTAGGATCTCTGCTTGCTTGGCAGCATTAAATGGAGAGAGATTGCCTATTCTTTCCTCCACTATACCCTTCCTCCACTGTGCTGGCTTCCAGATGTAATTGAAGATGTTGACTTTGATCTATAAAACCCAATATTTTTCATTTCAGTTTTCACAAAAAAGTTTAGCAGTGACTAGCATGGTGAACATCAGAGTAAATGGGGTAGGATCTGAGGC